GATCCTCCTTCTAAATTACAATTTGACCCTAAACCTTATTGCAGGTGGGGCTTACAATTTCAGAAATTACATGACATGCCCCCACCTCCAAATCGCCCAAAACCTGGTCTATAAAACTCTAGAGAATTCACCTACTTTTCTTGGCAGTGTCGTCTTCTCTTTTCCACAAACTGAGCCCAGTGCCGATTTTCTCTTCCTGCCAGCCTCTACACCAGCGTTCGACGCTATCACAATCTACAGTGCCTAACACTACGTTGCAGCAACCGATCAGTCCCATGATACTGCTATCAGGAGATGTGGTGCTCATTGTAGCCTTCTCCCATGGCTCTGAGCATTGCTGGTCTTTGCCTGCGTGTGGCCGCGCCCTGCTTGACCACCGTTAGTAGTTGCCGTTGAGGCTGGCGGCAATTTTTGCATCCAGCCAACCCATCCCAATCTGTTTTTGGAACTAATCAATTTTTTTAATTACGAAAATCAAATTTTCTTAATTGCTAGAAACGAGAAAAAACAAAGTCAACTTTTGATAGTTCCCAAACATTTAAAACAATTTCTAACAAACATAAAGTAGGTTCTGATACCATTTTGGGAATTTACTCAATCATGCATAGTGAAAAATAAAACATATTTCAATTCCCATCAAGGATCTACTTTGTGTTTAGATAGAAAACTGTAATAGAAATTGTATTTTTTTTTATTCTACAAGCTCCTTTGCGTTTTATCTTGAAATCTGCAAGCTTCTTTGTGATTTGTTTGTTCCAACAATCTTGATCTACCATCCACAGCTGTCCAGCCTCCAATGAAATTCCACACAGAAAACAAGATTGTAGGGAACCGGGGTTTTCTCCTCTTGTACTAGCATGAAAAAAAATAGAATTCTCTACAATTCCAAACCCTAGCCACTTATTTATATAAACCCAAAAGGGCTTAGCCTGACTCGATCAAATATTTAATTAACCCATTTAATTAAATCTGGTCTATGAATTAATTAATCCAATTACTTAATTCGGGCCTATAAATAAGCAACCGAATTAATTAATTTATTAAACGCTTGCTAAATTAATTAATTGACAAATCACAATCTTCTAGTTTTCATTTTGTATGTGACCCATCAGGTTCCCGATCACGATACCTAACGATGTGAATTATTATTTTGATTTAATCAAAATTGATAAATTAAAACACCTATTTAATTTATCACCAACTTATGTTCGCCGCCCCAGATCGACATCTAGTAAGGTGTCAGGTCAATACATATGATGGAAAATGTCATGTGGTATGACAAAATCAAATTCGTTCGTTTACCGTGAAACTATAATCCATTTGTCAATATGATCTAATCAATTACGAGATATGAAAATGTGTCAATCTCGATTATCGATTATATATTTCATTCTACTATTAAGAAGTCGAAAACTCCTTTTCGACTTCTGAGTACACCTTGGCTAAGAATTTCGTTATCGACTTAATTGAATGAAATGCATATCATAATCTCTTACTATCGAAGAGTGACGAATTCTCTATTGGTCATTCATAACCTTCATACGAATCTTGTCATACCTGAACGATGCCTTACTAGCGGCCATTGGCAAAGCAACATTCAACATCGTCAAAGTATGACTGTCCTCATATAAAGCACTATGACAATCTTAAGTTAAAGGACCAATTCCACTACCGAACATTAGAGATTAACCACTGATACTCAGATAGTTATCCATATGAAATCTCTTAGCGAGTATCCAATATTTGGTTCTATAACAAAACATTCACGTGTTCATTCAAGTGTCACCACACTTTAGCTTGTGAGATCAGTTACTTATTTCACAAGTAAGAAATGTCAAACGTGATGGTCTATCAATAATAACGATATTTGTATATTGTCATTATTTACGATCAAGGATGATTTAAGATTCAATCTTATGTAATTTGTATCTCACAATCACAGCTCCTTATGATTGACAAATTACTAAAATTTGAATTTACGGACCCTATTATTTAGTTCAAATGAATATTAATTAATTAAATAATAGATCTACCATAAATCGCATTAACTACATGTTAAAAATGTTTGTATCCAAAGTCGATTGGACTTATGACATAATACTTACAATTTAAACCTTCTTAGTTTGCCTAAAGCAATGGCACGGTGCTACTCTTTACATTCAATCGGTTTATTTTGAGAGACATAAGTCATCCATCCTCTTGCATCACACTTGAGAGTGAATCTATTTTAAGGAAGTGTGCAATATAGGTCTCGGTAACCGATACTACAATAACAACCATATTTCGTCTCTTTTATTGTTATATATGTTTATCTTAATGTTTCTTTCCATTATTTTATAATCTCAATGGTATTTTAATTTCTTTTTGTATTTTTTCTAACACCAACAACCCTAAGACCAAAGAAGGTTCAATGATAAGTTCAACAAGATATGGGGCTAAATGTTGACTTTCATCCATTTCTCATATATATATATATATATATATATATATATATATATATATCATCAAGATGGCAACCCGAAATTGTTCCAAACAGAAAGGGGATGGGGATATCTCCACATCTGGTTGAACAATATGAACTGGGCTGAAAGGCCAAATCCATCATTTTTTGAATTAGCATTGCCCCAAGCAGGGGCGGATGCAAACTTTTTGAGTTAGGGGGTACAATCAAATACTTTATTCTTGATATTTGAATAATTCATATTTGACTCAACAAAACGTAGAATTAAGTTTAAAAACACATTCCTTCATTAATATTTTGTTCAAAATTTTCATCCCTTGAATTTTGAACAATTATTTTATTAATATTTTGCTCACCACAAGAAAGTACATATTTACGTTTAAAGAATTTATAGTGTATTTGATACAAACAATCAATTCAAGTAATAAAAAGAAAAACAAATATAACCAATATTCAATCAAATAAACACAATTTGTTAAATATACGTCAAATTGGATATAATCATTTAAGACTCATTCTATATACACAATTTGATAGGAGAAAATGCAAATTTAAATTCAAAATATGATTAAGAAATGAAGTGAATGTTATAATTTGTTGAGAAACTATAGACAAATTCTAAAAAATTAGAAGAGTTAAGGTTTTGATAAAATGCGTGAGTGAGAGAGTCACGAGAGTATAAGAAAAATGGAAAAGTTCAAATCTATTGTGATTTTGTCCATGTTTAATGAGGATTAAAATCAAATTTCTAGTAATTTTTTATAAAAATTGAAAAGTTACGAATCCTATTAAATATGTTACTAAATTAATCGTTAATTTTGATTTATATTAAAATTTAGATTTTAATTCATATCAATTAGGTTTATTGAAAAAAGAAGAAACTCAAAAGTTGGGGGGTCACGTGACACCCCCCGGTTCCGTCACGGCCCCATGCAACATGATTTGTGAACAAGAATTCATGGTTTTCAGATGCCTTTTCGATTATGAAAATGTCCAATTATCTCTTTGATAACATTAGAGTATCCATTGACCTTTGTAACTTTATTGAGTCATCAGAAAAGAAGAGGAAACTGCCAGTGTGGAAAATTTCTCTCACTTCTTTAACAGTTGAAACTTAAAACCCAAAATAGAGAAGGATTGGATTATATATTTTCTTGTGTCCACACTAAAATCATTCGTGAGCAGTAGACTATAATTTATCTACTGGATAATTAAAAATACCAGCAGTCTGAGTCTTAAAAATTAATCATCTGTTAAAAAAAACGCGTATAATAGTAGATAAAACTACATAAAGCTTGTTTGGCACAGGGATTTCCAAGGGGAAAAAATGATTTTTCTAAGAACTTTTAGTTAAAAGCAAGGAAGAGCTGTTAGATTGCGTGGTTGAAGATAATTTTGAGGAAAAATAACAACAAAGTCACAAGTACAGAAAAAATTTAACAGAACTTGTACCGACACTGATTTGGCAAAATGTAATTGGATTATTTTTCTTCTTTTTTTTTGTCTTCCAATGATGTCACGTCATGTGTTGTCAGTAAGGTTTTCCTTTCAAAAATTCTTTAATTGTAGCATATTCGAAAAAATAATTGTGAAAAACAATCTTTGATAAACAAGCCTTAAGAAGCATCATGATAAGTGTAATAATAATGAATTGTGCAACTGGATGAATAATTGTTGTGCTTTTACATAACACATAATAATGCTGTCAAACTACTAGGAAACTTCGTGATTCAATGCCGTGTACAAATTGCATATTATTAGTGGAATGTACACAAAAGTTATAATAATGTCAGGAAACTACCAAGAAACTTCAGATATTGAGAAAGTTATGAGCCAATTGCAAAGTAAGTCAACGATCACTAATCACCTATACTGTGGTCCAGGGCAGAAATTTCCTGGAAACTACCAGTTGGAAATTTAGTACTTAAGCCCCGTTTGGAGCTCATTTTAATGAATTTTTTTTGTCCAGAATCTCATTAATCTATAGCAAACAATTAATAAAAAATGCAAAAGTTGAACTGCTGTGCTAGACTTTAGTTTGCCCATTGAACCGTTGGAAATTGATTGGACTAATTTACCCCTCACCAAGCCAAGTCTCTTGACACCATTTCCTGTGATAACATGTGACCAGAGGCGGACTTTTTTTGGGGTAGCCCCCCACCCCCCCGCCCCCCCCCCCCCCCCTTTAATTTTTTTTTTTTTCTAAATTTTGAAACATTGGGTGAATTGTATGTGGACCACTTCATGGAAAAGTTTAAAAAAGGCAGCCGTCTAAGAGCCCGTTTGAGCCATATTATTTGTAGAATGAGAATGAAAAATAGGGTCATTATGGGCTCCACATAAGAGATAGAAACTCAAAAATGGTGGTTTGATGTGATGGATAACGGTCATATTTTTCATTTTAATGAGGTAAAAATGAGGCTCAAACAGGGCCTAGGTCAGATTGTTGCCACAATTTTAGACGTGGGGACCACAAATTATGAAAATGAGTGAAAAAAAAATTGAAAAGAATAGCGGCAAGCACAAGCTAAATCCTTTTTCATTTGACAAGGCACATATTTTTTAATGAGAGCCTTACTGGTTTTGTTTTCATATCTGTCTCATAAATCTCATGAACTTTCATCTATCTGCACCATCCAGGTTTGTAACTCTCTTTCTGCCCAAATTTCTGTATTAGGTGCATGACCTCCTAATAGCTGAGTAAGTTGGTATTCCTCTCTAACTTGCAGAAATTCTATTGTGTGCAATTACGTTTACATTACAGAAAAGTTTGTCCTTGTTAGATTCGGGTGATTTTTTTAGATTAGTTAGTCTATTCTTGAAAGTAAATCCTATTCCATGAGTATGATGTATGATGTCTATCTAGTGTGAATATATGACAAGAGTAGAGTATTTCCATTGATCGGTCCGAGTTGGATATCCAATTGATTCGATTTGAATTATCTGGCAAATATCTTTTGTATATATCAAACAGATGGCCAAGCAAACCTATTTATTGTTTCAATAGAAGCACAAAGAGGTGAATAGTGTCTCAAATGACAAGATACATGTAAAAAACAGGTCTGATTGTACCTATTCCCAATCTGCTTTGTGTTACGTTTTAGTGGCAAAAAACTTGTCAAAGATCCTAAGGAGGAACCAAGGATCCGAAGATGCGAAGGAACCAAGACTATTTTCATTTTAAGCAAGAATTATCTTATTTATTATCATGTTTGTCAATACATTTGAATAATCGTAATCTTGAGCTAGACTTTGGTATAAAAATAGGGAGGAACACCAAGTACGTCATAAAGATGTCCGAAACAAGAGATCATGTTGCTGTTCGAATTGACGATATACTTCTTGACTTGCCTTTTACACCCTCGAAGCCTTCAATCTTCAGAGTCGATGATGATTTACGCAGAATGAATGAAAATCTTTATGATCCAAAAGTACTTGCGATAGGTCCTCTTCACCATGATAAAGATCAACTACGCAAGATGGAGCAGCAAAAATTCAGGTATTTAAAGCTTCTTCTTCAACGAAGAAATGAATCCAGTGTTGACAGGTATGTTATGGCAATAAGATCGTTCGAAGAAAAAGCACGCGAGTGTTATGCTGAAAATATCGAATTTGACAGAGATAAGTTTGTGGAAATGCTGATTCTTGATGGATTCTTCATCATTGAGTTACTTCGTAAACACGGAATCGAAGGTTTCAGGGACAAAGACGACACTATTTTTCAATACGAACAGATTATCAGCCGGTTGCGTCATGATTTATTTTTGGTTGAAAATCAAATTCCGTGGTTTATTCTTGATCAATTGTTTAGCATGACGAGAACCGGAAATCCAGATGATAATATCAACTATCTGATCCGTCTTTTTATTGATGATATTTCCCCATGGTCCGAGGTTTCAGAAACAACCTTGAATTTACCAATCAAGAATGAAGACCACCTTCTTGGCCTAGTATATAAGATTTGGTGTTCATCATTCACCACGATGCCATGTAAACCTGCTAAAAAAACTGAAGAAGAGAAAATTCTTACAGTAAATTCTATCAATGAGCTGGAAGAGGCTGGAATAAAGTTTGAAAAGGATTCGAACAGTAATGGTTTAGATATTAAATTCATCAAAGGGGTTATGAAAATCCCAGGATTGCATGTTTCGGATGAGACTGAGACACTTTTCAGAAATATGATAGCATACGAGCACTGCTTTCCCGATGATCATCCAAAACGTATCACAGACTATGCATTCTTTATGCATTGTCTCATTAATTCCTCAAAGGATGTGGCAGCATTACGCCGTGCTGGAATCATTACCAATTTTCTAGGTGATGATGGAATGGTTTACCACATGTTCAACCGAATAGGCAGATATATCCTGACGTCTTCTGATTTCTGCTACGAACAAGTATTTGAACAAGTGAATAGACATTGTGGTCAACGCTGGAACAGATGGATGGCGAACTTAAGGCATAACTATTTCAATACTCCGTGGGCTTATGTTTCTTTTTTTGCTGCTGTATTGTTGCTCATCTTTACATTGATACAGGCTGTATTTTCTGTACTATCCTATAAAAAGGGAAATCAACATTTTTATTAAAGATTTTTCCATGTTATTGCAACAATTATAATATAAAGTTGGATGAACCTAATACTTTGTCTAGTACAGATTGTGCACGACAAATTTATACCAACAATCCCAAGACCAAAGAAGGTTCAACGATAATTTTGACAGGCTACAATATTGACTTTGATCATTACATTGTTAAATTTGAACACAATAATTCTACCTTTTTTTTTTTAAGGTGCTAATACATCTCAGGCATAATCAAAGCCCCGTTACTTTTTGTACTTTCTATCCCAGCTTTCTCCTCCGAGGAATTTTCGATCTTTGTTTTTTGTTCGACATCTCTACCAAAGCCCCTAATTTCCTCTTTAATGAATCTCCAATCTCATTACTTGTACTCTCCCTACTATTGATTGTGTTATTTTCATTGCTGCAGGTATTATTCTTCGTGCCGCTATGTCATTTTTGTGTGATGCAGCACCAGGACGGTGCACAACTGTCAGCAAAGTCACTGCCTTCGTGAGGCGCCAATGCCATGTACAGAAATCGCTGCTGCTACGCTATCTGTGCACTGACATTCCACTTAGGCACTGTCGACCACCGGTCGTGACCTCCCACCACTGTTCAACCTGATCGATTTCCGATGCCTTCAAATATTGCCTTAAATTCTTCAATCTTCGTTGGTTCCAAATTAATTGCAATAAAATTTTAAACAAATAATTACCTTTTTATGGTTTTTAATAATCACATTGAAAAAAATAAAAATAAAAAATTACATCTTTCTATACCCCAAGGTTTAGTGACCAGTAAGATATGGTTGCTATAAGACACGATCAACTACCAACTAATGGTTGGTTGAGGTTTTGGTATGGTAAAATTGGACTAATTTTGTTATGCTTTATTGCGATCAATACTTGGTCGCCGATTCAAACAATCAGGGGCTATACATTGGATTGGTTGGAAAAGGTCGTTTGGAAAGAAGAGCAAAAATTTTCCCGCATATGAAAACCACCCCACGACTATTGAATGATCACTGAATCTAGTCTTCTGCAACCACTCATGCCTTGGCTGTTAAAATATTTGGTGCAATAAAATCCTGCTTTTTTTCAATTTGTTTTGGAATTTTTTAGCCACCAGTAGTGATGGATGTTGAATACCCCACCACTCCAGCAACCACCGAATGGTCACTGAACCCAGTCTTCTACAACCCCAAAAACATTATTTGTACCTCGCTCTGATGCCAATCTTTCTAACGTTGATTAAAAAGGTTTTTTCCTTTAAAACTTGGTTCGAAGGTCTCTTTAAAATAATTATTTTCGCTTGTCAATCAAACTGAATTAATTTAACAAAGGATAATGGAAATTAGCCTCAACACCTTTTTATTCTAATCCTAAAGTATGGACTTAACAACTACAAGGTAGAGTCCTTCTTGATCTCCAAGCTTTTGACCTCCAAGCCTTATTTGGTACTCCTTCAAGTACTAACTGCAAGGTTGAGTGGGCACCAAGAAAAGCCAAATTGAAATCATAGAGTTGGACTTATTTTGGACCTATTATGCTCGAACTCAGATACGGGTACATATCTAATTGTCGAATCTTTTATTTTTTAAAATGTAGAATACGAGGATATGACTAAAAATAGTCCAAATTTCGGACACAGGTACTTGGGTACGCCTTTCAAGCTTCGATTTTTTTACTAACCCAAAATATGATTTTGAATAAACCAAAATTAATTTTTCACAAAAAAGGAAATGAGTATTGAATAATTAGTTAAGACGAATAAAATTGAATTTTGGAATTTAATTCTCAATTAAAGAAAGTTAATTGCTAAATGTTATATAAAATAGAAAATGAGGGACTTGATTGCAATTTAGACTTAGTGGAGCACTAGATAGCACTATATGGAGCTATTTTCATTTATACAAACAAAATCCTAAACCACCGATACATTGAAGGAAAGAAGGAAAAAAAAAAAGAAGAAAGGGGAAAGAAAGAAGAAAAAGAAGGGAAAACCAAGTGTTGTTGCCCTTCTTGACCCTCTTGGAGGTGGCACTAGGTTTATAGAGAGCAAAAAGGGAAAAGGAAAAAAAAAGAAAGAAGAAGCAAAAAAAGGGCGAAGTTTCCGGTTGAAACTTTGAGGATCCGATACATATCTCATACTCATACCCATGTCATGTTGTGCTCGATACGGGTACTCCTACTATTTCGAAGAGTCCGAGCATAAGAGTTTTGGACGATCACAAAAGAGGAATTCTCTGTATTAAATTCATTAGACACGGTGGCGCATGGATGAGGAATTTTAAGAGCAAGTCTCGAACTAATAGGCTCAACATCAATGATGAATGACGGTGGCCAGATTGAGCTATCGAGTAGGTTTGCGAAGATTAGACTTTGTTTTCACAATCAAGAAATGAGTGTTGCAGAGTGGGTAGAGGTAATGTGACACCCCGAACTTAAGTTTCGAGGGTCACATACTAAACATAATAGCTTCTGCCTTTGGTACATGTAAATACTCTTATATAGATGTATTACATGTTAGAAACTTATTTTCAATTTGGTAAAATATCTCTCATAAAATTTAAAGGCCGGTAGAAGTGCATGTCGACATGAAATTATACTTTACATATACGGACTTGGCACTGTCACGGTTAGTTGGGGCAGCAAGTTCGACTATTTTTATAAAATTCATCCTAACTCCGTTTTCTATGAAATTTATGACATTAGAAAGATATTTTCAAATAGTTTTCTAGGTTAAAATATGAAAAATTTCCAAGATCATATGATATGGGCATTTTACTGAAAACAGTGAGGTATTGCACAGAAATTTCAGATTGACCCTTTAACGTTTGAAAATTCATATCTCAGGCTATAGATATCTAAATTGAGTGATTCTAGTGCCCATATTAAGACAACTCAATGAGGAACGCAGAAATATTTTCAGAATCTCAAATGGACGTTTATGGAGTCAGAAATAATGTTTTGAAGTTGACCCAAAAACTGTTCCATTTCTGCCTTTTTATCACTTGCAAGGGAAAGTAAAAAAAAAAAGAAAAAAAAAAAAAACGTCTCTTAACATAACCTGATAGATATAATTACATAATTTACTTCCTGTACCATATTACATCATGTCTTATATTTGTTTTTATATAATAACAAAAGCAAAACATATGGAAAGCAGTCAAACAAAACATACAAAGCAGAAACTTCGATGTAAAAATAATTGTCCTTGACCCATAATCGATTTTGCCGACTGACTTCCACCAACTTCACAATTATGAATCTGATATTTAACATGGAATACTATGAGTACATAGAATACTCAGCAAGATACCATGCTTTGATTTAACATGTTAATACTACACAAAAGAAAGCATTCAAACACATACTTGCATATTCCGGCTTGCCGGTGCCCTTCATACTCGTCCTAAGGCATAGATATCTAACTTTGTGGACTTGTCCACGTCTTTCATATTATGATTTTCGTGCATAACTTAAGCATAAATATTACCACGAAATCCTACCATTTAAGCATAGAAAATATCTTACAATAAAACTTGAAGAAATCTTGGTTGAAAGATGAATTGAGAATGCTAGACTTTATCCTTTCTTTCTCACGTCAACTGCCCTTTAAAACAAGTGATATTCTGATTTTTATTGCGAAGGAAATAAATGGCAGCAACATTACTATTTATAGGTAAGAAAAAAATGATTAATTAAGGTGATTCTTCAACCAATTCTACACGTGGGCAGAATGAAAGAAAATCTTAACTTCAATTAAACACCTATGCATGCCTTTAGCCACCACATGCTTAAGTTAAAACACCTCATGCATTGCCCCCAGGGCACATCTCCAAGTGGTAAAAGGGGAGGGTGGAGAAATCCAACTTTGCTTGAGGCTGCCGTGTCAAGGGTTCGAATCCTGAAATATGGATTTGGCTCTTGTGTAAGTGAAAGTGTACAAGCAGCCTTCCACCCTGTATCCTTGGAGGCATAACCTGCGATTTACCTCCCTCACGATGCTCCAGGGCAGGGGCGGTGGGGGACCCTCAAGGTTGGGGTTCAACCTTAAAACACCTCATGCATGCCTTAGCCACTTCATGCTTAAATTTAAACAATTCATTTATTGCCTTAGCCACCCCACTCACGGCCAAGAGGAGAAAAAAAATGTTTACCTTGGTAATTAGGTGTAAAATGGACATTTATCCCAAACCCCTAATTAACAAATTATTTGGAAAACTTTTTAATAAATCAACCAATGCAAAATTTGGCAACCATAAATAATTTTGGCCATAATAAATTTTGAAAAGTTAAATTGCTATCCTAAAAATTAAATGAGCACAAAATTCGGAATATTACATCCTTCATCCCTTAAAAAATTTCGTCCTCGAAATTACCTTGAACTTAGTTGAAAAGTTCTGGATACTTGATCTTGATTTCCTCTTCTCTTTCCCAAGTTGACTCTTTGACATTATGATTTCTCCATTGAACTCTCACTAACGGAATTTCCTTTGTCCTCAGTTGTTGGATTCTGCGATCCAATATTGCTACTGATTTTTCCTCATAAGTCATGTTTTGTTTGATATCCAATGGTTGATAATTAACTATATGACTTTGATCGGCACATATTGTCGAAGCATTGACACGTGGAACACATCATGAATTGCTGACAAATTTGGTGGTAGAGCAAATCGATAGGCTGCATTTCCAACTTTCTGCAAAATTTCAAAAGAACCTACAAATCTTGGTTGAAGTTTTCCCTTCTTTCCAAAGCGAAGAACTCCCTTCATTGGTGCCACTTTTAAGAAAACCCTATCACCCACATTAAATGCCAAATCTTTTTTCCTTTTATCAGCATAACTTTTTTGTCGGTCCTGGGCTGCCTTGATTCTAGCTCTTATTTTATCAACTGCTCGACTAGTTTCCTCAATTATTTCGGGTCCTAAAACTCTTTGTTCACCTACTTCATCCCAATAAAGAGGAGCTCTACATCTCCTGCCATAGAGAGCTTCGTAAGGTGCCATCTTTATTGTAGCTTGATAACTATTATTATAGGCAAACTCTACCAATGGTACATAACTTTCCTAAC